CTAAATTTTCTCTAACCGTTTTTAGACCCCCTAAATATGCATGATCCACCACCTCTCTGATCTCCACCTTGCAGAGATTACCCTGACCTGTCAGTAGCTTGGGGAGAACCAGTCATAGGACATGGAGCTTGTGGAGATCAGGCCTGCAGGAGATGGAACCTTCCAGTAATGGGCGGTTGTGGTGGTACAGACATACATGTGCCATGTGCAGCACATATATCTGAGCCCCTCACCCTAATGGGGTAAAGAAAGGATGAGGGCACAGAGCCTATTGTCAGGGAAAGAAAGAGGCATTCTGGAGACCATCAGCAGGGTCAGAGTTTGGAGGGGGGTCAAGCCCCCTCATTGACCTTCCCAGAGCTGTCTCCTTAGCTCACCATCCCCAAAATAGCAATCATCATTGATGTGATTCTCCTTGAACATTTGGTCCCTGCAGTTGTGCTCTGAAACATAAACTCCATGAATCCAGAAGTATCTTCCTCAGAAACACACCTCCCATATCTGCGTAAGAATAGATATTGGTCCTGCCCATTCCCACCTAACCCCACTGCTCATACTCCTGGTCCATGGGAGAAGGAGCTGGGAAGTCTACCTTCTGCCATTGCTCTGCACTGCATTGACTTTTGTGACTTTAAAGTTGCAATTTATTTCCTGAAATAATAAATAAATGTATACTTAAAAGTAGTATTTTTCCTAAATCTTTGTAGTTGATGTTACTGACTTACAGGATGGAGAAAATTTCCTTAATATTTGAAAGGTGAGCTCAGCTGGAAACCTGGGTAGAGGTAGAGGGGCAGTGCTTGGCAGCCAGTGCTCAAAAATATTGATTTGGGCTTGGCCATTACCCAGCCATGTCATCTCTACAACTTCATTGTGCTTACCCCTGCAGAAGGGCCTTGTCCCATGAGGATACATGATCAGAGGCTGATTTGGGGTTGATCCTATCTCTAGAACCTCAGCACTGAGGGTGGGACCAGGTATAGCCAGTCCTGACTCAGGCCTAGATTAATTTTCTAAGGTAGTTCTTTCCATCTTTTTCCATACATTTTATAACTAACCAATTTTTGCAATCAGCATAAAGATTAGATTTATTGTTTCTTGGAAATAATATTGCATTGCATGGATGCTTCTTGGTTTATTTCACCTGATCCCAACTGACATTCACTTGGGCTGTTGGCAACATTTTGCTATGACAAGCAGAACTAGGATAGCTAACCTTGCTCTAGACCCAACTCCATTACTTATTAACTTTGTGACACTGGACTATTTCATCTCTTTGACAATGTTTTTAGGATCTATCTGTAAACTATGTGTAAGTCTAATTCAGGGCTTCAGATTGCCATAGATTATGCTCATAAAACATTTTATTTACCATTTTCTTATTTATCATCACCTAATGTTACCACTGTTTACCAGTGATGAGTCCTTGCTTCCCCAATGTTGAAGTATAACACCAGAGAAGCATGCCGAGGCAAGGTCAGAGTGGAAAGTAGAAGTTTATTAAAGGACAGCAGAAAAGACTTCTCCCAGAGAAGAAGGGGACCCAAGAAGTGGAATCCGTGAAAGGGGGTTGTCTCCCCTTTTCATAGCTAAGGTCTTCTTTAGCTTTCCCACATTCCTGTCACATTCCTGTCCTTGGTTCTGTCAAGGGTGGGGCATAGGTGGGCCAAAGGAGTAATCTGGGCAGGAAGGACTTTTGGGTCAGCATCTTCAAGTTTGCTGGGAGCTGTTTCATTAACACTTCTTTGGGATGGGCTCTGGGCCTTGGGGACATTAACATGAGTTGTCCTGCTTTTCATTCTCAACATGGCCTCCATTTTGGATCTCACTCGATATTAGACCCGATTTACCTAACTACACTGACTACCTATTTTTAAATCTGGCTTCACTAGTTTGTTTCTACAATATATTACCATGTATATCTGTGTTAATCATCTTTCCATCACTATGACAAATACTCACGATTATTAACCTATAAAAAGAGAATGTAAAGAGAGAGAGAAGGTTTATTTTGACTCTGTTTTGTAGATTCTAGTCCATGATCATTGGGCCCCATTGCCTTTGGTCCTGTGGTGAGGCAGTACATAATGAATGGTAAGAACACATGACATAGCAAAACTACTCACTTTCCTCATGACCAGGGAGCAAAGAGAGATGCAGAGGAGGGGACATGTTCCCCAGTGAGCTAAATATTTTCCACTAGGCCCCATGCCCTAAAAGTTTACCACCTACCAATAACCCTGCCTGAGGGACCTTTAATATATGAGCCTTGCAGGGGATACTTATCCAACTGTAATACTCTGGGATTTTTGTTTGTTATATATTTATTTGGGGCTTTTGTTTTGTTATGCTCCAATTCAGGACACCCAAAAGACCACCAGAGACCAAGATCAATGTAAACAGCAAAGAGGTGTTTATTTCGAGCTTGCTTGGTCCTCCATGTGCACACAGCAACTGGTGACTCTGAGAGCCCCCGAGCCCAAGGTTGGCAGCACTTTTATACATTCTTTGGAGAAGGCAGGGACTTCACATACATCATAGCATCTCTTAGCAAATCATCACACACCTCAGGAAAATCAAATAACAACTCTAAAACATGATTAGCACATTCACTGGCGGGAACAAGTTGGGTAGGGGTGATCGGTTACTACAAGAGGGGGATTCCTTTGAACTGATTGGTTTAAGCCATGAGGGCAGTACTGCTGAACTACATGGTTTCCCAACATGTTATCAACCACCATAATCTACTGGGAGGGTCATCTGGCATCCCAGGTATTTCCCTGTCTCATGCTGATTGGTGGCTGCTAGGGGGCTGCTAGGGGGCTGCTATGGATCCCCACCTAGCCTGACTGAGTCAGGGACACCTGGTGCAGCAGATCTCTCCTGTTATTTGTAGATAAACAACTTAGCAGGGTGGGAATTTGCCTAGGAGTGCTCTGTGGGTCTTTCCAAGGACAAAGGTCATGTCCCTTCCTTGGACAGGCTGTTAGACCAGGACGCAAGAAAAGACCACTGACTCCAATTAAAATCAAATTAAAGCAAGCTTATTATTTCGACCGGCCGGGCTGCTTCTCCCTCCCAAAACGGCGGGAACAAGACAGCACCCCACCTTTCCTACAGCCCAGCTTTATAGCCCAGAAAGTTACACAAAGGGGGATTACAGATAACAGAACTCTGACAAGCATCACACTAATGGTAGTTTACATTTTTTTTTTTTTTTTTTGCTGGCCCCAACATCAGAATTTATGAGGACCATTAGAACCTCAGAGAGGGTCGTTGTCTGGCCAGGGAAGGCCAATATTTATGAGGTGTCACTAAAGTTTCAGAGAGGGCTGCTATCTGGTCAGAGAGTCAGGCATGGGTGAGTTCAAGGCACGGGCAGGCATTCCAAGCAGGTTCAGATGTAAGGATCCCGCGAAACGTCGGAGAAAGAGACCACCAAGTGACCACTCATGCAATTGGCAGAAGGGGATTTATTGAACCAGCATGCTGGGGCTCCGTGCCCACTCAAGAAGGGAAAGCAGCCAGAGCCCTGAGCAGGGGCTGAGCACTGCTTAAGTACACTTTTTGGGGAGGGCGGAGGGCTTTGTATACATCAGAACAAATCATCATGAGGCGCGGGAAAATTGAATAACAACTCCTAAACATGATTAGTTCATTCATTGGCGGGAACAGGTCAGGCTGGAGTGATAGGTCATTCCTAAGGAGGGGGTTACATTTAAACTGATTGGTCCAGGCCCTGCAATGCCTACATGCGACCACACAGAGCCCTTATTAAACTACCAAATAGTCAGGGGAAATATTTACTGGGCAGTTCCAAGTGTTGTCTTAACAGCTACAGAAATTTCAGGTTTTGCAGGTAACATAGAAACCTAACAATACCTCCTTTACATTTTAACTCAGACCTTGCAGCTTAGAAACTTTTACAACACCCGGTCTTTTACCCTTTAACTTTTATGCTTTAACTTCAATTTCTTTTACCCTTACACAGAATTTGCAGTAATTTATAGTAAAGCAGAAATTATCTTTTCATGGCTTTGTGGCAAGATGGCTCCCAATTTTAATAAAAGATCAGGTTGGGTCTATCAAGGCTTTCTTTGCTCTGAGGTAGAGGCTGGTTTTTCAATGACACTGAGAGGTCCCGAGCCCAAGGTTTGCAGCAGTTTTATATACTCTTTGGGGAAGGCAGGGACTTCACATACATCATAGCATCTCTTAGCAAATCATCACACACCTCAGGAAAATCATAAAACAATTCTAAAACATGAATAGCACATTCACTGGCAGGAACAAGTTGGGTAGGAGTGATTGGTTAGTACAAGAGGGGGATTCCTTTGAACTGATTGGTTTAAGCCATGAGAGGAGTACTGCTGAACTACATGGTTTCCCAACATGTTATCAACCACCATAAACTACTGGGAGGGTCATCTGGCATCCCAGGTATTTTCCCTGTCTCATGCTGATTGGTGGCTGCTAGGGGGTTGCTAAGGGTCCCCACCTAGCCTGACTGAGTCAGGGACACCTGGCACCACAGATCTCTCTGGTTATTTGTAGATAAACAAGGGTATGTGCCTAGGAGTGCTCTGTGGGTCTTTCCAAGGACAAGGGTCACGCCCCCTTCCTTGGACAGGCTTTGCTCTGAGGTAGAGACTGGTTTTTCAGTTTGTTTTGGTTTGGGATTTTTTTTTTTCTTTTTGGTACTGGGAAATGAACCCAGGGGTGCTTTACCACTGAGCTGCATTCCCAGCCCTTTTTATTTTTCATTTTGAGATAGGTCTCACACAATTGCTGAGGGTCTCACTAAGTTGCTGAGACTGGCCTCAAACTTGTGATTCTTCTGTCTCAGCCTCCTAAGTCACTAGGATTATAAGTATGTACCACATCACACAGCCCCAACCATAAAACTCTATAATAGAATCCCCTCATGGGGGCCAGGACCTGTCCTAGAGAGCACCAGGAGTATGCTGGCTGCAGGCTCAGTCCCTCCCTTTCTCCGCAGGATGATCACAGACATACAGCTCGCCATCTTGGCCAACATACTGGGTGTGTCGCTCTTCTTGTTTGTGGTTCTCTATCACTATGTAGCTGTCAATAATCCCAAAAAGAAGCAATGAAAGTGGCACTTTTGAAGGCAGAATTAGACAGGCAGTCAGTATAAGTAGGTCAATCGAGTCAGATCAGATCAAGGAGGCCAATTTTGAGTGAGTCTGGGAATTTGATGACTGTCCCCTAAGGGATTGAAATGTTAATTCCTTCAGAGCCCTTCCTCCACCCTTATGGAACCTGCCCCAGCTCCATCCTTCCTGTTTCCCAACTTTTGGCCATCCCACTGAGCATTCCTAGGAAAAGAGAGAGAAAAGGAGAGGAAAGCTGGAGAACAAAAGAAGCCTAGGACATATAAAAAGGGCAGAACACCTTGCTTCTTGGATTACCAGGATATCAGCTATGGCCCCCTTCTCCCTCCCAGGAGAAGTCTATGTTACCCCTTTTTTAATAACTTTGCTTTATATGCTTGCCTTGGCATGCTTCTCTAATGTTCAAACTTCAACATGTGAGGGAGCAGAACTGGCAGTATCACTTTCTCCACCCCAGGGTTCCAGGACATAGTTTGAGGCAAAAATGGCGGTTGTGAGCAGCCTTCACACTTCACTTCATCCCTTCTACCCACCGCAACATGCAAAGCAACTACACCTGGATTTTTCCAAACAACCTCTCTTTCCTTAAAGTCTTCCTTAACCCTGTGGAACAAGAAGTGCCAGTGAACAGGACCCAGTAAAGGGGATGCTTTTCTACTACCCCCCCAAACAAATGTTACCACTGGTTACCGGTGACAATGAGTTCCCTTCCCCAGATGTGAAGATTGAACACCCAGGAAAGGCTGAAGTTTTATTTACTTAATATGTAGTAACATAGAGTTCACAGAGAAGGGGGGCCAGAGCTGGGTGCTCATGGGAGGGGGTGAATCTTGTCCTTTTTATAATTTCCAGGTTTCCTACTTCTAAAGGCCCCTCCCTTTATCCTGCCCATGCCATTCAGGGGGCGGGGCAGGAAGTGGGAGAGGGGCAATTCAGGGGAAGCCACCCAGGGAACACCCATTAATAATTCCCTGCTGGAAGGAACAATCTCCCCAGAGGCAGGTGACTTTTTGGTTATTGGTTAGGGGTGGGGGAACTGTCTGGAAGGTATTAACATTCCAATACCCCAGAAGTGGGTGATTTTGGCCTTGAGTGAGGGGGGATGTGTTCTGAAGGTATCGACATTCCATTTCTCTTTGAACAAGCTTCAGTCTTCCAGACCTGACATGATTCATCTATCTACCCCAATTGCCTGACCTTTGTTCTTGTTTTACAAAGATATAGATATATTTTTTTTTAATATTTTTTTTTAGTTTTCAGTGGGCCTTTATTTATTGATATGTGGTGCTGAGAGTCGAACCCAGTGCCTCACACTTGCTAGGCAAGCACTCTGCCACTGAGCCACAACCCCAGCCTATAGATATATTTTTTTTAAAAAATCATCTCATCTGCGCTGGGAATGTGGCTCAAGCGGTAGCGCGCTCGCCTGGCATGCGAGCGGTCCTAGTTCGATCCTCAGCACCACATACAAACAAAGATGTTGTGTCCGCCAAAAACTAAAAAATAAATATTAAAAATTCTCTCTGTCTCTCTCTCTCAAAAAAAAAAAAAATCACCTCATGGAAGTATTAGAGTGGGCCTCTAAACTATGTGACCACGAGAACAAAGTGGGTTGTAGGTTTTTGTGTGTGGAAATTCCCTTAGGAAAGCCAAACTTCCTTCAGTTTAAAGGGTTAAATATTAAAGATCCTCCCTGTCCACGTGCCTGCGATGACCTTTGCACATTTGGATGGTACAACTAAATGATGCTGACTTCTCCCTGGGTTGGGCTTATTCCAGAGAACTTTGAGTCATTCACTTATCTCAAGGCTGACACTCCATCCCTCAGGGATCTGGCTAGTCCTTGGGAGAATGACGTGTCCTTAAGAGAATATGTAGGTCCTGCAGGTTATAGAAGGAAGCTTTCTTTGTTTTAACTTGTATTTAAGGAACCCCACTGGGTATAAGACTTTGGAGTGTCACCCTTGAAGAAGGTGTTCTGTCCTCCTGGGACTTCCCAGTTAGGACCCTGAAAAGCTTCCCTGGGTTTCCCCAGCTATATGACTTCAGCTGTTTCCCCTGATCCAGTGATGTATTTTTCTGGTCTTTACATCTCAACTATCATTTTTGTTATTGCTTTTGTTTTCATATTACTACTAAATAAATGCTGTCTCTTACCAAAAAAAAAAAAAAAATGTCTCTTGTCTACCGGATCTGACCTGTACAGCAGCTGCACAAATATATAACACTAACATTACCTGCACTTCTCTATACTCCCCAGGAATACACCAGGGTTCTACATTTGCCCTTGTGCTCACCAGTGTTATGCTCGAATTCGGGACCCCCAAAAGACCACCAGAGACCAAGATGGATGTAAGCAGCAAAGAGGTGTTTATTGCGAGCTAGCTTGGTCCTCCGCGCGCACACAGCAACTGGTGACTCTGAGAAGCCCCAGCCCAGGGTTTGCAGCAGTTTTATACACTCTTTGGGGAAGGCAGGGACTTCACATACATCATATCATCTTTTAGCAAATCATCACACACTGTGGGAAAATCATAAAATAACTCTAAAACATGATTAGCACCTTCACTGGCAGGAACAAGTTGGGTAGGGCTGATTGGTTAGTACAAGAGGGAGGTTCCTTTGAACTGATTGGTTTAAGCCACAAGGGGAGTACTGCTGAACTACATGGTTTCCCAACATGTTATCAACCACCATAAACTAGTGGGGGGTCATCTGGCATCCCAGGTATTTTCCCTGTCTCATGCTGATTGGTGGTTGTTAGGGGGTTGCTATGGGTCCTCACCTAGCCTGACTGAGTCAGGGACACCTGGTGCAGCAGATCTCTCCTGTTATTTGTAGATAAACAACTCAGCAGGGTGGGAATGTACCTAGGAGTGCTCTGTGGGTCTTTCCAAGGACAAGGGTCACATCCCCTTCCTTGGACAGGCTTTACTCTGAGGTAGAGGCTGGTTTTTCACCAGTTGTTTAATTTTTGACAGGATCTTTCAACTGTCAATTGTTTCCCTTGGCTGTGTTAACTTGTATTTCTCTGATTACCCGTGATGCTATGCAACAATTCAGATAATCTAGCATTCATTTTCTTCCTCTTTCACTTGCTTGTTCAGATGCTTTCCTAGTTTTCCACTGATTTCATGTATTATTTTTTTTTATTTGTAGGGTGTATAGACTGGATGTTTGTGTTCTCCCAAAATTCATATGCTAAAGCCGTAACCCACCATGTGATGATCTTTAGAGGTGGACCTTTGGAGGTAATTGGAGTTAGGATGTGGTTGGGGGGGGGGCATGACGAGATTTGTATTCTTATAAGAAGAGGAAGAGGGAGCAGAGAACTTCCTCCCCACACCCTCTGCCACAGGAGAACAACCAAGAGGGCACCTAGGAAGGGGCCCTCACAAGGACCTGCATCTGCTGACACCTTAATCTTGGACTTCCTACCTTCGGAACTGAAATAAATAAATGACTGTTTTTTAAGCCACCCAGTCTATGGTACTTTTCAAAGCAACCTGAGTTAAGACCCAGGATTGTTTTGTCATTGTTTGTTTGTTTCTCCAACAATGGAAAATAATTCTGTTGGAGTTTCACTTGGTACATTTGTGGTTTTAATCCATTTGATGTTGATTTCTGCAGGTGACCTAGATGATCTGCTAGTTACTAGGCTTGAGTGATTTCCCTTATCTACAAGCCCTTCTTGAGTTCTCTCATCTGCCTTATCCTGGAGCTTCTCAGGAAGCCAAAGCCACAGCCCCAGGAAGTGGTTAGTGGCAATTTCTTTCAGGATAGGGCCTGGCTTCAAGACAGCGCCTGAAGTGCAGCCCACAAAAGTGTCAGCTCCTCTCACAGCTTTCTTCACTGTCTGGATCTTGGCACATCCAAATTAATAATCTTGGTGATTATTTTGTCCTTGAACTCACCTATGAGTTTACTCTTTTACATTTTTTAAATTATATATATATATATATTTTATACATATTATTTATTTATATATACATACATACATACATACATATATTTAGTTGGAGATGGACATGATACCTTTATTTTATTTATTTTCTTTTTTGTGGTGCTGAGGATGGAACTCAGTGCCTCACATGTGCTAGTGAAGCCATATTTAAAGATAGGTAGTTAGTGTAGTTAGGTAATCAGGTCTAATATTGAATAAAATCAAAAATGAAGGCCATGTTGAGAATGGAGTCCGGGAAAAGCAGAACAACTCTTGGAATGTTAATGTCCCCAAGGCCCAGAGCCCATCCCAAAGAAAAGTTAATGAAACAGCTCCCAGCAAAGATGGAGGTGCTAATCCAAAAGTCCTTCCTGCCCAGATTACTCCTTTGGCCCACCTGTGCCTCACCCTTTGGGCCTTCCCACCTACATTCCATCACTGAAACAGAACAGAACAAAGGACAGGAATGCGGGAAAGCTGAACGAAGACCTTAGCTATAAAAAGGGAAAAACATCACCCTTCGCAGATTGCACCTCTTGGGTCCCCTTCTTCCTCCAGGAGAAGTCTTTTCGCTGTCCTTTAGTAAAGCCTCTACTTTCCACTCTGACCTTGCTTCGGCGTGCTTCTCTGGTGTTATGCTTCAACATTGGGGAAGCAAGGACTCCTCACCCGTAAAACAGCGGTAATACTGGGAGAACACTCTACCACTGAGCCACAACTCCAGCCCCTGAGTTTACTCTTTATATTTTTTTCCTATCATTGTTGTATCTTTGGTGCAGAGGAACTTTGTCCAAATGTAAAATTACTGTATAATTTTCAACCAAAGCTTATGATATAGGGTTCTAGTGGGAATGTATGGTGGATCATGCTGAAAACACATCCAGGTCTCAGCCCAGCAGAAATCTTCTATCACAGATGGAAAGAAGTAGTGGGAAGAAAGAAAGAAGAGACCAATATTCAGAGTCCTAGGAGTGTGCTCATAAGGCTTTACTAGGTTAAGGAGTATGAGACCATTCACTGGCTCTGTCCTTGACTT